GGAGCAGGGAGCCCGATATGGGGCTCGATCCAGGGAACCTGGGATCATGACCTGAGCTGAAGGCAGACGCTTAATGAGTGAGCCACCCAGGTGCCCCAAATCTTACATCTTTAACTCCTGTTTCATCCTCTCTTCCCAAACTCCTGAACCATTTTGCCTTGATAAATTACACAGATTTCTCAAAACTCAACATCTTTTTTTATTAATTCTTTTATTAATTTTGTTTTATGTTAGTCATCATACATTACATCATTAGTTTTTGATGTAGTGTTCCATGATTCATTGTTTGAATATAACACCCAGTGCTCCATGCAATACGTGCCCTCCTTAATGCCCATCACTACATCCCCCCATCCCTCCTCCCCTCTAAAACCCTCAGTTTGTTTCTCAGAATCCATAGTCTCTCATGGTTCGTCTCCCCCTCTGATTTCCCCTCCTTCATTTTTCCCTTCCTACTATCTTCTTTTTTTTAACCTATAATGTATATTTTATTTCAGTGGTACAGGTCTGTGGTTCAACAGTCTTACACAATTCACAGCACTCACCATAGCACATACCCTCCCCAATGTCCATCACCCAGCCACCCCATCCCTCCCACCCCCCACCACTCCAGCAACCCTCAGTTTGTCAAAACTCAACATCTTAATCTGATTTGTGTGCTGTGGACACCTATGACTGAGATCTTTGTCCTGTGTTCAAAAAACTCACAGTCAAGCACCTTCTCTCCAAACCTTCTACTGATTTTAATATTTATCTTAATGTTCCCACCTCCTCCTCATTACCTAGGGGAAATCCTGGTATTCTCTTTGATTCCTTCTTCTTTCTTCATACTTAGTTCTCTTCATTCAAACACTTATTATTCTTGTTTACGCCCTTTTATCTATAGCTGAGGTTGAAAATTAGTGACCCATGGACTGTATCTAGCCAGCAGAGGTTTTTTTTGTTCTGTATAATATTCTTAAAAATATCATGTTCTTGGGTTTCTCATGAAAAATTAGAAAATTGGCAACATTGGGTCCTCACTCATGCAAAAATTGACTGGAGTTTTAAATGGGACATCTAAACTACCACTCTAATCTCTACCACTCCTTATTTTTCTCACATCAAATTCATTTACTAATTTATGAAACCTTCTTGATCCTTAATTTAGGCATTTGAGTTTGCAATCTCTGGCATATGTGATCACAGGATGTTAGTACGAGAAGAGATATTAAGAGATCATCGTGTCTGACAGTCTCCTTTCTTTTTTTTTTTTTAAACATTTTTTTAAAGGTTTTATTTATTTGTCAGAGAGAGAGAGAGAACACAAGCAGGGGGAGCGGCAGACAGAGGGAGAGGGAGAAGCAGGCTCCCCGCTGAGCAGGGAGCCTGATGTGCGACTCGATCCTAGGACCCTGGGATCATGACCTGAGCTGAAGGCAGACACTTAACCGACTAAGCCACCCAGGTGTCCCTGACAGTCTCCTTTCTAAGAGATAAAAAAATTGAGGTCCAAATAACTTACATTACCTGGCCAATTTTACACAGTTAATGTGTAACAGGATTCTATTATTTGTCATTAGACCTGTTCCTCACCTAGTGTCCCTCATATTCCCCATCCAGGGCCCTCACATAGAATTTTCAGGTTCAAGTCTCTGTGCTTAAAACTCTTGCTTTATTAGGCCCTGAGGTCTGAGTTCTTTATCAGGTAAACTATGCCCTAATTCTTAAAAATGAAAAAATCTGTCCCAACCTTTCTGGTCTTATTCTTCTAGTGCTTACCTACATATATCTCACTTTTCTGGGGTGTGTGTGTGTTACCCAAAACATACCCTATGCATTCCAACCTTTTTGATTTTGTTTAGTGCTATTCTCTCCACCTAGAATATCTTTCCCCAAACTCTGCCTGACATAACTTTTTCCATCCTTTAAAAGTCTATTTGAATGCTATCTCCCCCATAAAGTGTAGTAGTTAAGAAGGTGGTTTGCATGGAACAGATTTGGTTTGAAGTCCTGGCTCTGTCCTTTACCAGCCATGTGACCCTGGACAATTAATCGAATCTCTGTAAATCTGTTTCCTCTTCTGTAAAAGGGGAGTATCATCCCCTTTTAACAAATGATCCCACTGGTTGAAAGTATTTCTATATACTGCAGGAATCCCATCTCACTTTTTACTTCAAACAGTGCCTCGACTTATAGTCATTCATATTAGTTATTTTATTACTCATCATCGCTAATTATTGATCTTACTAGTTAGTCATTATATATTGTAAACCTGCTATTATATATTATAGTTATTCTTTCATAATAGATGAGGGCAGGGACTTTGTCTTACATGTGTTTCTATTTCTCACAGTACTTAATGAGAGCTTGTAATTACTGAGTTAATAAAGAGGAGTATAACCTTTCTGAAATGTTCCTAAATTCTATAAAAACAATACATACAAATAAAAAAATAGTAATAGATGAATCTCATATTATTCCCTTATTAGAACCTTGGGGGGAATTTTTCTCAGGTTTCTATACCAAATTATACTTCTCTTACGCAACTTAAAAAAAAACTCTTACAGACCATGTGAAACTTAGAACTATGTTTTCCTTTTGTTTTAGTTGCTAGGAATATCAGAGACTAATTTGTGGTGGCACCCCTCTAGCAATTACAAATGAACTTTTGGCATGATTTTTTGGGGTATTAACACATGCTTGCCTTTATTTTGTTTGATTTTGCTTGTTTTCCAATTACCTTTTGCCTCTTCTGATCATTTTCTCCTACTATAGAATATATCTCTTTCTTAGCACGCTCAATCTTTTGTGAGATTGGTGGGGCATTGATAAATAATATGCATCTATAAAATACATTTAAAAAACACTTCTTACAGCTTATTAAAGCATCTAATTTCTTTGGATCTCCTACTTCACAGAGAGTTATAATCAAGTTCAAGGTGATCAGGAGAGAACTTCCCCAACTTCCTGCCTTACTTATAAAGTTATTCACATTTTTAAAAGAACAACATTGTATATGTCCTTATAAAATATACATCATGTAGGGGCACCTGGGTGGCTCAGTCGTTAAGCATCTGACTTTGGCTCAGGTCATGATCCCAGGGTCCTGGGATCCAGCCCCACATGGGCTCCCTGCTTGCAGGGAAGCCTGCTTCTCCCTCTCCCGCTCCCCCTGCTTGTGTTCCTGCTCTCGCTATCTCTCTCTCTCTGTCAAATAAATAAATAAAATCTTTAAAAAAATATACATCATGTATAATACAGATAAGCAGAAAGCAGAATACCTAAAAAACAAAAAAACCCATCATGTGGTTAAGAACCTACATATGCTGCTTTCATACCTCACTTTTCTCTTGTAACAATGTATTTTACACATCTTTCCTTATCATTGAATAGTCTTCTAAGTAATTTTTGATGGTTCAAAGCATCCCACTGATTGTGTATAAGGGTAGTCAATCAGACTGCAACTCCACATTCCCTTCCTATAAAACCTGAAGATGCTCTTACTGAAACTAATATAAGTGAACTTCTCTTATCTGCAGCCATGTTATCCATGTCTAAGAAGTATGGGTATAATATATTCCACCAGTCTTTCATTGGTGGACAAGCTGAAATGAACTCCATCCAGCTTAATATATGTGTGCAATTTTGACTATTTCCTTTTGAGAACTTCCTAGAAGTATACTTGCTTAGTCAAAGTGTATACACATTTTTTTTTAAACAAGTAGCTTAAGTATTTTATTTGTTTGCAACTAAGCTTGTTAACACTATATAATGAAAATGTACAAAGAATAATGTTGCAGTTTTTGGTTAGATTTAAGTCAAAGACATTCATTAATAAGGAATCTTCGAATATGAATATTCCAGAATTTCTCTAAGCCATCTGATCAGAACAACTGTCTCTGAATATTACTTTACTTTGGAAGGTACTGGCATACACTTGAATTAAGCTCAGAATTTTTCAAAATAAGCCCTAATTAATAAAACTATTCTATATTCAAACTAAAACAATTTTAATAGAACTTTCCTTTCCAGAAACAATAATAAGGGAAACAAGGCATTTTGTAAAATGTGGTCCTGAACAAGTCACAGTAAAAAATAAATGTATACTTAACTTCCACCTCCTCAAAACAGAGGCTACTTTCTGTTGCACAGCCTTGGAAACAAGGTGAAGAACAATCTGTAAGCAACTTTGGGCAGGGGGTTGCCAAAACAAAGCTCAAGCAGTTGAACATGGGCACTTCTTAAAAAGAATTTGGGGGAGCCTGACCAAAGGGTCCAAATTCTGTTTTTAATAACCGATACAAAGGCAAAGTGGCTCCTCCAAAGTAGCAGTGCCACCAGGGGCTGGCCCAGCCCCACGCTTACCTGTGTTGTGCTCCCAAGCAAACCCTGATGCTCCCGCTCCAGGGAGACTTTTTCTTTTTAGAGGTTCAGTGTCCAGGGAGCTCTCTGTGTGAATGAGGTGAGCACAGACTCCACATGGGTATTTTAAGGCTTGGAGTCAAAGTATTTTTCAACACGGCTAGGCAGCGTCCATGTGTCAAACGGCCCGTCTCCAGTTTGTCCTAATTCCTCACCACGCATTTGTAGACCTAGGACCACAGACCTTTGCTATGTCATCATAATCACATCTAATGTCCATCCTAACTTATGATTCATATTCTGTGCCTGGAAACAGTCCCTGTATTTAACAATAATACCTACAACATAAAACAATCCACTGTTACAACTTATATGGTCACAAAACATTAATGATCTTCTGTAGACCAAGCAAATGTTTTTAACCATAATTGTCACGCATCAACTTCACAGCCAGAATTCCCAAGATCAAAAAAATTTGCACAATACAAATAACTTAAAATACACACACACACATATACACACACTCTCACACACACTTCTTACAGAACTGTGCTTGGGGAAACTCCATTTGTTGAGGGCCACTGAGGGCATATTTTGCTAAACTGCTGCTCCAGGTATTTTTGTTTGGAAAATCTATCACAGTAGGGCACAGCTGTTTACTGGATGAGCAGAAAAGAGAGATATGCTTGTGGCAACCAGAAAGTTTTAAGGTCTTTCAAGTTGTATAAAATGGACCTGCAGAAACGTTTAAGTGTTCTCAGGATGCAAAGTTGTAGCTGAAATGTGGTATCAAACCAGTTGCAAAAAGTGTACAGCAGTCATCTCTTGAGGTCAAACCTGGTACCCAGATATGCAAGAAAGCTTCGGGACACATGGCTTGTTGGCCTTGTCCCATACCGTCGCATAATCTGATCACGTGTGAATTTCACAGAAGATTCATATTGTTCTGCTAGTTTGGTATTGAGGATTTGCTCATACTCCTCCCGAATTTTATCTTCATAGTCTTTTAAGAGACGCTCACATACTACTCCAACTTGTCGGAGGGTAAAGGTGGGCTGGTCCTTCTTCATCCAGGAGGAATCTGGAGAACTAGGTGCTGTGAGTGCTGAGGAATGAGGCTGACTTTCCGAAGTACGAGCTTCACTCTGATTAAGAACAACTTCTAAATGTCTCCACCTCTGATAACGACTATATTCTTGCTTTATGTTCTGAAAACTTTGTTGCGGTGTTGGAAGGCGCCGCTCGTTGCCGGGCGGGGCGGGCTGCTGCAGAGTCGGCGGTGGGGTCTGCGAGTGGAGAAGCAGCGGCGGCTCGGCGTCCGGGGGCCTGAGGCCCGGAGTGGGGCCGGGCAGAGGGGCGCAGCGCCGCCGCTTCGGGGAACCAGGGCTCAGCAGCGCCGCCTCGAACTCCATGGGCCGCTTCAACGTCGCCCCGCACGCCATGCGGCTGAGGGGCCAGGGACCGGGAGCGGACGCGGAGGTAACTGCGGCCCAACCTCCGGCTCCTCAGCGGAGCTCGCAAGCCTAGTCGGCTCCAGTGGCGCCTCCAGCACCCGGCGCAAAGTGTGTACACATTTTAGGGATATGTAGTTCCAAAGTGCCTGGAGGGGAGAGGAGTACCAGTTTCTTTTCCCACCTGCAGTGTGTTTAGCTGAACCCTTGCCCAACACATATATTATCTGCTTTTTAATCTTTGCAATTTTTTTTTTTTAAAGATTCCATTTATTCATTTGACAGAGAGAGAGCGAGAGAGGGAACACAAGCAGGGGGAGTGGGAGAGGGAGAAGCAGGCTTCCCTCCGATCAGGGAGCCCGATGTGGGGCTCGATCCCAGGACCCTGGGATCATGACCTGAGCTGAAGGCAGACACCCAACAACTGAGGCACCCAGGCGCCCCTAATCTTTGCAAATTTAATAGGTATTTAATATTCCATTTATATTACTACTAATGTGGCTGAGCATACCTATTATTGGCCATATATATATATATATATACACACACATACATATCTTTATTACTCTTGCCAACTTGTAATAGTTTTAAAATTACTAACATCCATAATCCACCTTGACATCCTCCTACCCAGTTCCACCTCCCAAACTAATTTATGTACGTGATATGTGGATCTTATCTCCTCTATTTCTTCAGGGAATTATTCAATCAGTTATTCTCTTTCTTGGCAGTATCTTTAACCTCTGACTACTAGTTTTTCCTCTTGTAATAATAAAATCACTAAGTGTCCTCTTCTTCAGGAAAGACCCCAACTTTGTTCTTTTATTTGCCACCCTTCTCTGGCTACTGACCTTTCTCTTTTCCTTTACAGCCAAACTTCTTGAAAGAATTGTGTTCATGCGCTGTGTCCATTCATCTCTGTCTCTTCAATTCACTACAAGCAGATTTACATTAAAGTCTTCAATGCCTTCTTTGTTGCTAAGATTTTAACAACAATTGTATCATATATATATGATTTAAAGCCGGATACGAGATGATTTTCCCCAAATAAACTCAACTGTGTAAAAAATATTTGTGCTGGGAAAAGAAGTGACAGGTAATAAAATGAAAAATTTAAGTCCCTGCCAGGTAGTTGGGATGACTGGTGAGTTTTCTTTTTCCTTTTTTTTGTAATTTTCCTCAACTGAAAAAAATGTACTTTTCTATTAGAACACATTGCAATGTAATGCTACGTTTTCTAAAAGGCAGAAGAAAGGGCGCCTGGGTGGCTCAGTTGGTTAAGCGACTGCCTTCGGCTCGGGTCATGATCCCGGAGTCCCTGGATCGAGTCCCGCATCGGGCTCCCTGCTCAGCAAGGAACCTGCTTCTCCCTCTGACCCTCCCCCCTCTCATGTGCTCTCTCTCTCTCGTTCTCTCTGTCTCAAATAAATTAAAAAAAAAATCTTTAAAAGGCAGAAGAAAATTAGAGAAGTGACGGGAGCCACTGGGCGACACTTTCACAGCAAGGAGCAAGAGCAGGTGGGCGCGACCCATGGCCCCAGGGCAGGTGTTCCCGCCGCGGGGCACGACTGGAAAACCTCCTGATAGGACTGTCTTCTCTTAGAAAGGCCCTCATGCCCTTTTCGCTCATCCCAAATGACCTCTGAGCATCTCAGCCTCTACTGTGTAACGGCTTCAAACCTCGGATAACCGCCAATCGCTTCCAGTTGCCCTGGTAACAGCCAGCAACCCTAGCCCCGCCCAACCCAGCTACCGTAGGTCTTCCCAGAATGCTGCGCGCCATTCGCTTCTGGTTCGGAGGGGGGACTCATTCCGGAAGTAGATTCCTGTCAGTCGCTGGCGAGCGCTGGCGGTGTAGCCTGTCTGTTCAGGGCTGTGGGGACCGTTTTGTTTTTTTTCCCAACATTCAAAGTGACTGGAAAGCTGAGGAAAGCCTATAAACTCACCGAATTTTTGTTGGTCCTCGATAAATGGATTAAACGTTATTAAAAAGCTGAAAGATGGAAAGCACTTTAAAATGATATGCAACTTCATGTGTTGCTGTGATATATTTAAAAAACTTCCAATAAAAAAGCAACTATTTTTCCTTTAGAAAACGAAGAGAAGCACAAAAAAACCCCACAAAACACCCAAATCTCATCCACATAGAAATAACCACTGTGAATCCTGGAGCAGTCTTCTAGACCCTTTCTATGCTTATAGTAAATGAAATTTCAAAATGGAATCACGTTTATGCCGTTTTGTAACTTAATTTTTATGATTATATTTAAAAAGATACTACAACAACATGGTTTCACGTATTCCATTGTATCTCTTGGGCATTGAAACTTTCTATCCTTTTTGCTCTTAATTAGTGCTGCAATGGAGAAATGAAAATCCTGATAGCTAAATCTTTGCCCATACTCTCGTTTCTTTGTGGTAATTACTTTTCTCTTTTCAGCTTAATCCTTTGTATTTGCACTTCCTTATCGCTCCCCTAACACCTTTCCATTCCACCCTATGTCTTTATACTATAAAGGGATGAAGTTACACAAATGGCATCCAAAGCTTACTCATTTTTTTAAAGTTTACTTTTCTGATTACAAAGGTAATATATGCTTATTGTGAGCACTAGGAAAATTCAGAATATAATAAAAATATCCCAATACCTAGGCAACTACTGATCATATTTTGGCATAATTTTTTTTCTACTTTTCTTTCTTTGTTGCCTTCAGTGATGAATATGGAAAAAACGTTTGCTAATTTGGTAGGGTAAAATTACAGCTTTTAATTTGCATTTCGTTTCTTATTCATGTAGCTGAATAATATTTCAAATAGTATTTCACGTGCTTATAGGCTATGGTCAATGTCAGGCCCCATCTTCTCTATCTAGCCTTTCCTGAATATTGAAGACTCATTACAATAACTGTAATAGTGTAGGTTTCTATATGCTTATGTTTTAGTTCTCTAAATAGGTTGAAGGCTGTGGGGTCCTGGGTAAATATTCAATATTGCTAAACCCACTTTTTCTTTTATCAGCAAAATAGTGATAATAATACTTATTTTGTAGGATTGTAGTGGAGGTTAGAAATAATGTATCCAAGGTGAGCTCAATAAAAAGCGGCTTAAGAAAACTATTATAATTTTAGCAATCTGTACATAGGAGGTGTTCGTATTTTTGTAATATTTCAAATGATGAATAATCCTAGCATCCCATCCAATGTGTTTATTTTTCATTTCCCCCCTCTATTAGTGCATTAGTTTTGCCCTTTAATGCTCTTCTTTTAATGGTTATCCTTGTGATTACAACATGTATCCTTGACTAAATAGATCCACTACAAATTAGTACTTTTACCACTTCCTGATGAATACAAAGTCCATGTTGCTGCAAATGGCAAGATTTCATTCTTTTTTTATGACTGAACAATATTCCATTGTGTATTTATAGCACGATTTCTTCATTCATTCATCGATGGACACCTAGGTTGCTTCCATATCTTGGCTATTGTAAACAATGCTGCAGTGAACATGGGATGCATATATCTTTTCAAGTTAGTGTTTTGTTTTCTTTGGATAAATACCCAGAAGTGGAATTACTGGATCATATGGTAGTTCTATTTTTTTAAATTTTTTAAAAGAATCTCTATACTGTATTTCATAGTGGCTTAACCAATTTACAATCCCGTCAATAGTGCACGAGAGTTCCCTATTCTCCATATATTCACCAACACTTGTTATTTCTTGTCTTTTTGATAATAGCCATTCTAACAGGTGTGAGGTGATATCTCTTTGTGGTTTTGATTTGCATTCAATCTAGATATTTATTAAGCACCCATGACACATAAAGCACTGTTCATAATCCTCAAGGTCTCCTGAGCCTATATTATTTCTATACATTTCTCACATAAATCATATGCTCCTCTTCATCCTCATCAATTCTCTTATCCTCAGTCTCTGCCATTATGCTTGGTCCATCATAGTAGGTGCTGAATAAATATGTGAGCTGAACTGAGTAATTTAGTGGAAAAAGAGGGGCGCCTGGGTGGCTCAGTTGGTTGATTGTCTGCCTTTGGCTTTGGTTGAGATCCCAGAGTCCTGGGATCCAGCCCCCACTCAGCGGGGAGTCTGCTTCTCCCTCTCCCTCTGCCCTTCCCCGTGCTTGTGCTCTGCCTCTCTCAAATAAGTAAATAAAATCTTAAAAAAAAATTTAGTGGAAAAAGAGAAATACAAATTAGTTAAAACCTGGCAGGCTATGATGAAAATGATAACAGATGCAAAGTACTTTGTACGTTGGGAGATCAGGAGAGAATAATTTTGATTAAGGTATCTGGGAAAGCCCTGTGGGATAGGTAGATTTGATCAGGACCTGGATCATGACTGAGGAAAGGTGCTTAAAGATGGAAGTGAATTAAGGGTTGGAGATAGAAGTAAACTGGTTGTGTTTTGTTAGCAGAAAGTTATTTGGGGTGGCAAGAGAGTAGGGTGGGCCATTGGGTCCAGGTGAGGCAGAAAAAAAAAAGTAGTTGGCTCCCACATTTTGAGGATTTTGATATGACCAGTAATTATAATTGCAGCTTTCAAACGTTACTGAAAAGTACTTGCTTTCGATATGGCTTTGGACGTCAGGAGATGGGTGGGCCAGATTGCAACTGGCCTGCTGGTGGAAAAGGCAGGGAGTGGGAGGATGCCTGAGACCTTCAGAGTGTGAGGGGACTTTAGTGGCCAGTACTGAGGAAGGAGTGTCCACGAGGAGGCGGGCTGAGGAACCACGCTTATTAGGATCGGCCAACCGCGGCAAAGGTCAGCAGCGAAGCCCACAGCAGCCCTGGAGACGCCAGCGAGTGCAGCGGCTAGGTTTAATTCCTCCAGCGGACGGGGGATCCAGAGCCCCGCCCCCGTCCCCCCCCGCGCCTCTCGCCCCGCCCCTCCCCGCATCCCTCGCCCTGCCCCTCCCCGCGCTTCTCGCCCCTCCCCGCGCTTCTCGCCCCTCCCCGAGCCTCTCCTCGCCCAGCGTCCCTTGCTGGGCTCCGAGGCCCCGCGGCCCCAACGTCCTCAGCCGGGCTCTGCGGCAGTCGCCCTGCCTGGGGCCGGGACCGCCGGCGGAAGGAGGATCTGGGCGGCCCGGTTGGCGGGAGGGCGGTTGCCTTTCCCGGATCTCATCCCCGGCCGCCCGAGGCGGGAGGAAACAGCGGCGAGGTCCGCGGGCGGCATGGCAGGAGCTGCGGACGAGCGCGGGCCCGGTTCCGCGGCGGGGGAACAACTGCAGCAGCAACACGTCGCGTGCCAGGTCTTCCCCGAGCGGCTGGCCCAGGGAAAGCCCGGGCAAGGGTTCCTTTCCAGCTTCTTCACCAACAACCAGAAGTGCCAGCTTATGCTCCTGAAGACGCTGGAGACAAGTAGGAGCCGTGACCCGGGGGTCGGCCGGGTGGTGTCTGAGAGCCGGAGGGCAGGGGTCTCTCGGTTCAGCCCCAGGTGTGGCAGGAGCAGGGTGCAGGCACCTCTGAGCAGGGTCTAGGTAGATTCGGCATCCTGGGGCGGGAGTGGTGGCGGGGAATGGGGGGGGGGCGGGTTGGGCCTCAGTTTCCCTTTCAGAGGTGGGAAACTCTTGCTTGTGGAATGAGGGAGGAGTCGGATAGGAGTTTGCCCTTTTCGGTCACACTCACTGGTATGACAGGTTCTCCGATTTCTCATGTAAATTATGCAGCAGTATGGGGACTTGGGAGTGAGAGTTTGAAAGAGCCACGTTAACTAAGGCATGACTGCTGGCGGCTCGAAAGCAGTTTTGCAACTGCCCTTCATTGGGAGGAGTTCTTAACCTTCATACATGGATGGGCTTCCTCGTGTAGAAACCTCTGAGACGGACTACGAAATCGTGTGTATGCACCTGAATGCATTTTTCTGGGGAGAGCGTTCCTAACTTCATCATATTCTCAAAAAGGCCCGACCCCCAAAGGGTCAAGAACCACTGCTGTTAAATAGGGACAACCAATTCCTCTAGTCCCAGGGACATTGCACTAGAGATTTCTTAACTCCTTTACACTGACATGGACTTTCTAAGTTTACTTCAGATATGTTTAGAAAATAAAAGTCTTAAACCTACTTGTCCTAAAGCAAGGTTACTATCTCATAGCTGCCAATTACAGTTCAAAAGTCAACCACCCAAAGATTTTCCAACCTTCTTGAGATGACCTGCATATTAGGGAATCAAGGGAGAGGGGAGAAGAGGGGTAATGGGAATGAGGAGGTTGTATTCACTTGGAAATGTGTATCGAATGCCTCCTAGGTTCTGGTGTGGGGAAATAAGGATGCGTAGGGACCCGGGCTGTGCCTTTGAGAGGTTCTGAAGTGGAGCGCAGTGGAAAGAGGATGGGCTGCAGAGTTAGACATGGGTTCAAATTCTGGCCCCTCTCATCAGGTGTGGAAGACTTAACTCTCTGATCCCCTCTATCCTTATCTGCACACACAAAAAGGGACAGGTAGGGGTAAAAATACCTCGCTTAGGGTTGTGAGGAATAGGTTTTATGAATGTAAAGTGTGAGCGTATCAGGAGCTGAGTAATGGATAACTGCTTACTGTGGAAGAGACAAACAGTGGAGGAGATACGGAGGTGGGATGTGAAGATCGTGGTGGGCCGACCATGAGCTCCAGGAGGAATTAACAGGCCTCAACCCTCCCCTGGAGGGCTGCTTGGAGAAGTGTTAGTGGTATTAAAGCATCAACCTGTAGCTTTACCATCCTATCCCTAGGACTGGGCCTCAAGGGAGATCTTTGTTCCCTTTTTCTTTAAAGCAAATCCATTCTAAATACTGCAGGTCCTGTTTGAAGTACCAAACCACTGTGCTCCCTGCAATTATTATTGTTACCATTATTTTTTAGTAAGAGGACTATCGATTTTGGAATCCACTTCAACTTTGTAAAGCTTTCGTAGTTGCCTGAATAATAAATAATGCACTTAATATGGTTCCTGACGCCTGATATACACACACAAAAAATATTTATCACTAATAATTGTTTTACTGTTAACACTCTTAAGAGGGGGCAGGTTAATACAGCAGTAACCTATGCCTATGTTTCTCATCTCTCATTACTTTTTTTTTTTACTCACCTATTTTTGCTTTCAACACTTAAAAAAAAACCACCTTGATTTCTTTTCTTTTTCTGTTTTTTGCTTATGTCATATAATATGCTGCCCATTTGTACACTCAGACGAGACACCTATATGAAAAGTTGATATTAGAGGCATTTGGGTTTGTTGTACTTTCCTGTAATCATCACAGGCTCATGGATGCTTAGAAGGGCTCCCCAGGAGTCCTCTAGGCCTTTCCACCCCCATGTAGGAAAACCTCTGCACCATCACCAACCAGAGAGTTTCTAGACCTCTGCTGAAACAGGTTACCGATTCTTTGAGGTTCTTTGAGGCTACTGGTCTATTTTATTAGCAGCTTTAATTGTTGGAAAAATCCTTTCTCGTACTGTACCTTCTACTCTTTGGTCCTTGTTCTGCCCTCTGAAGAAATATTGATGGAATCTATTCCCACGTGGCACTCCTTCAAAACCTGAAGCCATTGCGGTCCTAGTTAAGTTTTTTATTCTCCTTTCCAAAGCCACAACGCCTTTCTTGCTTCTTACAGGACTTACAATACAAAGTCCTGTATTGTTCTAGTTGCTTTCCCCCGTGGAAGAGCTTCAGTTGGCAGGTCCTGCTTAGAGTGTGGTACTCAGAATGGGATCCTGTTAGCCTGTGGTCTGACCAGGAAAGATGCCAATGGGGCTCCTTAACTACCTTCTTCTAATCTGGATACTGTGCTGCAGTTCCTTTCTGTGGATGTGGCCCCCAATTCCCTCATTCTTTTGGTATGTGCTTTAATACAATGTTTTTGATCCTGTAACTAAAAATGGGCTTTAAAATCATTTTTGGTATTATTGAAGATGTTCAATAGTACCCATCTTGGTATTCGTATCAGTGTTTTATTTCATTAAAGACTTGTTTTTATGTTCATTTAAGCTTGTCTTTTCATATCCATGTTTACCAATTTTAAGATAGTATTACTTCATTAAGATTTGTGAGTTACTTTTTGATAATATACTGCTTTTTGGATAATTTAATTGGTTCTATTTTTTCCAATTAACATACTTAATTGAATCAATATCTTTTTAGATCCATATGTCAAACTTCTACTTGATGCCATGAAGCACTCAGGTTGGTAAGTAAATCTTTTTAAAATGCTGGTCTGTATTCTGGCTGCTAAAAACATAAAAACCCCATACTGGAACTAACTATTTTTCACTTCAGGCCACAAAGCCTTTTCCATATGGTAGGTGGTGGGGATGGGCTGTATTCTTTCCAGGCAGGTCTTGTTTTCTGCATACATCTTCTGCCCTAACTCTAAATCTCTGGCTCTACCATTCACTTCTGGTATTTGATAAAGACCGCACGTAAAGTCTTGTAAGTAATTACAAACCTGGCTCTTCCACTCTACCAGACTCAGCATTGTCCTTCATGGAGAAGAAATCTCAGCTTGTTATGTAGGAGCCTTCCAGGTGGTGTTTAATTTGGAGGAGATTAGAGGAGGTGACATCTGAGGTCCACTTCTTAACCTTCTGGCCCGAGGGGAGCAACTCCAGCGTATTTCCAATATGTTCTTAATCAGTGGACCAAATGCTTTATGGAATCATGTCATGGAATTTGAACTAGGATAGATTTTGCAGGGACGATTTCCTTATATCACAAATGAGACAACTTAGTCGTGAAGGTTTCCCAAGGTTTCTTATGTGTTAGTGGGAGAGGGGATTTATGACCTGGGGCTCCTGACTCCTTACCCAGGGCTGTTTCCCCTGAACCGCATCCGCGTGCACACTGCTTTTGGACATTGTTTCTTTAATGCATGCTTGCCTTTTAGTGCTGTTAACAAAGAAAGACACTTTTCTTGTGAAGACTGTAATGGCAATGTCAGTGGAGGTTTTGATGCGTCAACATCTCAGGTAGGCATTTTTGCCCAGGTGGTTCTCTTTCCCGATATTTGCTAAGCACCTTGGCATGCTGGCCATTCTGTTGGGTAGACTTTGTATAAGATTCAAAAAAGGAATTAGTTATGGTTCTTCCTCTTAAGGAGCTTATGCTTTCACAGGGAAGATAAGACAATGATAAAGTTTGAGGCAGGTTAAACTATTTTAGGTGGGTGTGGTTACCACAATGGGATAGTAATGTGATTGCAAGATACCTACAGATTCAGCTAGAGCGTATAAAGCTTCTTCAGGGGCAAAGAAGACGAAGACTGTTGCCCAAATAAGGGGTAGCATGAGCAAAGGTGGTGTGTTGGGAAAGGACAAGGTATATTTGGGAAGTGGCATGTTGTCTAGTGTAGCTGGGGGGCAGGAATGTGTGGGGAATATGGGGAAATAGGATTGGAAAGAAAGGTAAGCCGTATGGTGGGAGGCTTTGAATGCTGAGCTAAAGAGTTTCATCTTTACCCCGTGAGAAGTGATATACCTTTGAACATTTTTGGTTAGGCGAGTAAGTTTACTCATCTGGAAAATATGGGTAATGATTGTATCTATCGTATAATATAGTTAGGAGAATTAAATGAGATAGCTCATGTAAGGTACTTATCATAGTAAGCATTCAATAAAAGTTTTAAGCAATTGGAGGGTTTTGACAGCATCTTGGAGGTGGTAGAAGAATTAGGTCATATGATGAGAGTAGATGAAGTTTTTATAAGTAACACCTTCCATCTTGAACATACAACCCTGTTTAATAATACTTAGTTGTTTCCTCCTGGGGAATATTATATGTATTTTGGTTATTTATAGGTATTTCACAGTAATCATGGGAAAAGGAAACATAGCATAGGAGTGAAAGGTCTGGGTTTTGGAGTCTGGTGGAGCTGAGTTCAAATCTAGTTCCCCTGCTTATTAGCTGTGGGGCTTGGGCAAGTTATTTGCCTTATTCTCAGTTTCCTCATTTGTAAACTGATAATAACAATACTTGTAGCTCTCAAAATGGGTCTTGGTGAATTCATTTCCCCCTTGGGGTTAAATAGAGTGGATATTTTGAACTTTTATCTTACTTCTCAGCAGTGTTGAGCATAGTTGGGCACTCTCTCCTTTTATTTTTATAAATTATTTGTATCGTGAAGTGTTTCATTCATGCAGAAGAGTAAAAAACCCGTATGCATGCTTTTGGTCATAGCAATAAAATGAATACCTGTGTAACTGCCACCCAGATTTGAGAAATAGAACTTGCCAGGACTTCAGAAGATTGTGTCCCTCTTGGATCACATTTCCTCTCTTATTCTTATCACATTTCCTTTCTTATTCTGACTCTTGTGATAATCATTTCCTGCTTTTCTGAATGGTTTTACCATCTTTATGTACAGTCAAACAATGTGTTATTCAGGTGCCTGGCTTTTAAGTTTTATACATGGAATACTTTGAGTTCTGTGTGATGCTTTGTAGTTTTATGAAATCATACAGTATATAGTCTTCTGTAACAATTATTTTGTTGAGATTCTTCCATGTTGTACACACCTCTCATTTACATAGCTGGACTGTTATATAGTCTTCCACTGTATGCCTATATTGCAGTTTACCGTATTTAATATTGTTTCTGACTTTGTTGTGAACAATGTCGCTGTGAATATTTTTCACCCTTTCTCCTGGTGCACATGTGCAAAAATTACTCCTGGGTATTTGTCTAGAAGCAGAATTGCTGGGTCATATAGTATGCATACACTTGGCTTTAGTGGGTAATGCCAGACACTTTCTTCCCCTGGTTCCCAGTACATGACACTCTTCTGGTTGCTTCTTTGCTAGCTCACCTTCCTCTATCAGCTGCTAAATGTTGAAGTCTCTTAATCCTTGATGTTAGATCCCCTTCTTTGCTTCCTCTATACTCTGCCAAGGGGATCTCATTTATTTTCCTAGGTCAGAGCTCTCTTTTGAACTTCACATTTGTATATCCAAATGCCCACTTCACACCTACACTTGGATATCTTAAAGGCACCTGAGACCTCACAGATTTGTCCAAGTCCAAATTGATGGTTTATACCATCCCCTATCCCCATCCAACCTGGTGTTGTAGTTTTGCATATCGCAGTGAATGGTACCATCCTCTATCCTATTACCCAAGCCAGAAATGTAGAGATCATCCTTGTACCTCTGATTCCCTTCCCATATTCTATATCCGTCACCGATTTTTATCCAGTTTACCTCCTAAATATTTTTTTTGGGGGCATCCCACCATCCCTGCTCAGGTACCATTATTTCTTGCCTAGAATACCTCTTTAGCCTTCAGCTAGCCTCTCTGCATCCAGTTTTGGTCATCTTCTGCTTATTTTTCCAACTGTAGTCAAAAGGATAAAAATAAAAGCACCCCCGTTTCGCTCCTCCCTTTCAGTGACTTCCCACTGTTCTCAGGATAAAGAGTGATTTGGCTCCTGCCGACCTCCCCAGCCTTATCTCGTGCCTGTCACCTACAGCTCTGTGCTACTAGTCTGCTTTCAGCTTCTCAGACATTCTCTTCTGTCAGCGCTGCTCCCCTTTGCACAGGCTGCTCTGTCTGGAATGCTCCCTTCCCCACCTCTCAAATTTAATTCCTATTCACCCATGAGATCCCAGTTTAAACATTCTTTTTGCAGAGATGCCTTTCCCAATCCTCGAGACCAGGTCAGGCATTCTTATTGTATGTACTCATGACATCCTGGATTTTTCTTCATGACAACTGTCATTGCATGTCTTTAATTTTGGGAAATATTCGATTAATTTCTAGTGCCATTTGTAGATTATACATTAGAAATTATAATTATAGATTATAAATTATAAATAATTATAAATCTACTAGTAAGTCTCAAGAAATATTATTGAAAGATGAATGTTGGATGAATGTATATAAAATAGCTGGCACATATCCCGGTGTCTGGCACGTAGTAAGAACACAATAAATGGTAACTGTTGTTATTAGGATCCCTTATGTGTTTATTATTCTTATAGGGTCCTGCTCAGTGTGCTGTTGGCTTTTTGCACTTCTTTCTGAAGGTCTTTCTGAGGATTTTTCCCTGGCAGTTCTAGTAGAATGAGACAGTGGTGGTCATTCATTGTTGGTTCATTGCTCATTCAGAAACTTGATCAGAAGCAGTTTACATGTATTCTCATTTAATTCTCACAATTCTATGAGGTAGGTACTCTAATTATCTCCTTTTTAGAGTTGAGGAAACTGAGGCACAGAGAGGTTAAGAAACTTGCCCAAGGTCACCGAGTTAGTAAGGAGTGGGGCTGGAGTTTGAATCTGCTTCATTCCAAAGCCCACTCCTAGTATGACGCTGTGGAGTCCAGCAGCCCACCGAGGATGGTATTTAATTAAGTGCTTCAGTTCAGACAGAAGAGGGAGAAGTTGGTCACTGGGAACGCTTAATTGAGCATGTACTCTAGGACCAGGCCTTGATGGATGGGGAGGTGTGGGGTTGAGGGAGGAGAGTGGGTGGAAGCTCTCCAAGCTGGTGAGCCATCTCACGCCAGAGAGAAGGTGGGAGTTACAAAAGGAGAGTAGATGTTAGACATAATGGAACTTCTCCTATTTTGGTGCCTCCTAGATTGTTTTGTGCCAGAACAACATCCGTAATCAGGCCCATATGAACAGAGTCGTCACCCACGAGCTCGTTCATGCGTTTGATCACTGTCGCGCTCACGTTAATTGGTTCACTGACGTCAGACATTTGGCCTGCTCAGAAGTGAGTTTTATTGTAAAAGATACTTTCTCCCCCTGGAACACTCTGAGTTTGAACATTTATTTATTTATGTATACTTATGTATTTATTTTTCTTGAATAATTTTTTATATTATTATTAACATATAATGGATTATTTGTTTCAGGGGTACAGGTCTGTGATTCATCAGTTGAGTTTGAACATTTAATTGAAGTGTAATGCTTAAGACTCTCTCTCCCTCTGCCCCTCACTCCCCACCTCAAATAAATAAATAAATCTTAAAAAAGAAAACCTAATTGAAGTATAATTTACTTAAACATACTCCTTTTCTTCCTGTCATGGTTCCATGTTACTCTTAGATTTCCATTTTTAACTCCTGAACACAGCTTTGAGACACAACAAGAGATATTTTAAGTATCTTCTTAGAATTGTCTTAATTATAACCTTTAAATCCTAGTAATAGTAATGACTTTATAATAACCATTTTTAACCAAATAACCATTTTTAGTATATGATAGATATATTTCATATATATATGTGTGTGTATATATATATATATATGGTATATAATAACCATTTTTAACCAAATAACCATTTTTAGTATATGATAGATATATTTCATACATATATGTGTATATATATATGGTATATAATAACCATTTTTAACCATTTAACCAAATAACCATTTTCCCTGTGGAATATACTGTATAATATAAAAACTAATGCTAGTTAACCCTGGCTGAGGACTATGTGCCAAACACTGTTCCTTTTGTGGATTCTTATTGTGTCTACTCAACAGTCCATCCAGGTAGATGCTATGATCTGCATGTTCTATGTGTCGAAAGGGAGGCGTTGATTGAGATCCATGGTTAGTAAGTGGCAGAGGCAGGATTGCAACCAGGGTTCTTAACTGTCCTGCCGCGTTGCCTTCCATACGTGGAGCGCCTTGCTTGCCCTAGAGTAAGACATGTAGTCTCAAAAATACGACATAAAAAGTTTTTATGGTAATAATAAGCACTTTGGGTTGCTCTCAGAAGTGCAGTATATTTATGCTCTTAGACATATGTATTTAATACGAGCATTTCATTAATTGAAGAGTGCAGTGTGCTGAGAAGTAAAAAAAAAAACTAATATAAATTTAAGTGTATACTTTATAACTTAGATTATTTTCTCTTTCCCTTGAAATTAATAAGCAGCCCCACTGCCTCTAATTATAACTCATATTATTTGGAGAGTAGACTGAAACCTGAGTTTTTAAATAGGTCTCTCTCTTGGACGTTATGAGAATTAATGCCTGTTAGCTAGCTAAAGTATGTTAAGGGCCTTGAACTCCTCAGAGGAATGAGGCCATGTTGTAGAAGTCACAAGAAGTGGGCCATTCTGTTTGCAGTACATCAGCAAAAATGTGGCCAGGTTGGCTGTAGCATTCATGTGGGTAGTTCTGGTAGAAGGTAGAAAGACCTTTTCATCTACTGAAGCTGCATTTTACCTTAAAAATATAGTGAATTAGAAAATATGTCCTAACTTCAGGCTGTCATGCTCATAGGGAATGTTCTTGTGTACACACAAACTTTATTATCCTAATGATCTGAAGCTTAAATTACTTTGTGGTCTTTCTTTCATTCTTCTTTTTTTCTTCTTTCTTTCTTTCTTTTTACTCTATTGCTCTTTGGAAATTAAAAAAAAAAAAAGTCAGTTTAAAATAATTTCTCAACTTTTGATTTAAATAAAATTTTAGAAGTTTGAAAAAAAAAATGTTCTTGTGCTTGGAATGTTCTTGCTTAAGTTTCAAGAACTTAATTTTTCAAAGGACAATTGAGGCCCCGGGGGATGGCATCAATTTACACAGGTTTAAGGGAGGTTCCAAGAGAGTTTCAGTGTTTTGGGTGAAGGGCAGGAGGTTCCCATTCTCAAAGTGTCTTAGATGTTGTTGCATTTAATTTTAAGCTTACGTTGAAATTGAGTTTGTAGATCTTTGAAAGAATGCTATCTTGCAGTCCTTTTGGTAATTTCTAGAAATGTTGTATCTTGTGGAGTACATGGACTTTAACTCTGAGGTCCAGCTTTCTGACTTTTGGTTTCAAAAGGAATTAGTTCTTTCAATAAGGTTATGGTGTGAAGTTTTGAAAGTTCCCTTTGATAAATGATTGACCCTCCCCCAAACCCCCAGTTTATTTTGCATTGTCTAGTCTAGCTCATGGATATCTGCTCTTTTTCTTAATGTAAGAATAACTTAAAATAGTCTATGTCAGAGTTTAAAACATTCTTGAAAAAGATCCGATGGATACTCTGTTTTCAGAAAGACATGCTAATTTTAAATTCTTTTTCAAAACTTTTTATAGAGCAAGAACACTTACTTTCCTTCTCTTTGCCTCTGTCTTTGTGATAGGTTCGAGCTGCTAACCTTAGTGGAGACTGCTCTCTTGTAAATGAAATATTCAGGTTGCATTTTGGATTGAAACAACATCATCAGGTAAAACTAACATATGAAATCCCTCACCCTTCAGAGTGCTAGGAGTGGAAATAATGCACAAAGAAATGAGAAGTACATTTAGTATTTGAAACGTGAAAGAACTACTTCTATGGGAAGAATACAGAATGTATCCTGTTGAAGCCAAATAGATGGAGTTTAGTTCTACTTTTTAATTACGGGCAAGCTGTGTGACTCAGCGAGAGATTCTAATAGTGAAAAGAACTATATGATCTTGTTCTTGGGATCCTTTTGGAAGCAGGTAGATGAAGACCCGATGCAAAATCACAGCCCGTCTGACTTTGATCCCTGCAGTCCGGGACTTGTATTCCCGAGACAAAAAAGTCATACCTATCGGATCAAAGACTGCCCCACAGCACAGGTTATGGCCGGGTAGTAGTGCTCCTTTAAAGGCTGTGTGACATGACAGCAAAGCTTTGAATCAGCACAGCCCTGACGATGATAAGTCTCTCCTCTTTTTCCTTTGGGTAGCGGCCACCGAAAGCGAACAGAACTAGCAACAGGAGGGAAAGTTTGGGGAGGTGGTGGGAGCCTGGTGGAGGGAGAACAGTTGTAGAGAATGGAGTCCCTGCGTTCGTACGGCATGTACCCAAGAGACACCGGCATCGATGACAGTGACTGATGGCCAAATATGGTAAAATCACCCAGTTTTAACAGGAATGAATTACATTTGGAAAGAAGTAAACCTGAACTGTGGTCTCTACGTGTGCCTCCCAAACCTGTAGCTCCAGGAGACAATTTTTTACCATCGTTTCTTCCCCTGGAAGGGAGAAATGTCCTCTTTCTGGCAATTGCTGCCGTAGCTCCATATGGTTCATCCTCTCTTTCTTCTTCCTTTATGCCTGAGGTTTATTTTTAAAATCAGTGTTTAGTGTAATTTAGGTCGAGAAGCACTGGTTTATATTCTCTCTTTTTTTTTTTTAAGATTTTATTTATTTATTTGACAGACAGTGAGAGAGGGAACACAAGCAGGGGGAGTGGGAGAGGGAGAAACAGGCTTCCTGCGGAGCAGGGAGCCCGATGCGGGGCTCGATCCCAGGACCCTGGGATCATGACCTGAGCCGAAGGCAGACGCTTAACCACTGACTGAGCCACCCAGGCGTCCCACTGGTTTATATTCTGATACTAGTGAGCATCCCCAGCTCAGGCATGCTGACCAGGGTGAAGTAAAGCAGGAAACACACACAGAAGATGAATGATTGACAGATTGCATAGCTGTAAGAACCAGTATTTGGTTATTTTTCATGAAAAGGTTAGATGCCATTCTTTTGAACTTTAGCTTGGGTTTGTGGAGAAATAAATGGATTTAAAGCTCTCCAAGAATTGGAATGGCAGGACCTTATGTTTCTTAACATATTTAGAATACTGAGAAATTCTAGCCTATTACTGTGTAACATTAGATAATTTATTTTCTTAGATAGAGAATTTAATACCCATGCAAAGAACGCTCAGGGAAAAAAAAAGGTTGTTTGATTTTTTTTTTTTCCTCCTGAAAAATTAAGACACCTTCAAATTTTATGTATATGCATGTGTAGCTTCCTTTTGCCTCCATGGGAGATGCCCCTCTTGAAGGAAAGATTATCTAGTATTAGTCAACTGGAAAGTAAAGGAAGAGAGAGACATAGAAGTAAAGTATATTTTAAATCTATTTAAATTTTATTAAAAATCCAACTAGAACCTTATTTATAGATTTTTTTTTGGTTTGTTTTTTTGATTTTTGCAAATTGGGAGTTACTGTTTGTTGGACTACCTAAAACTTCAGAAAATGACATCTGGTTATATTATTGGAAAAGATGAAAAAATGGAGGAGGTCTTATTTTTTATTTTTTTTTTAAAGATTTTATTTATTTATTTGAGAGAGAATGAGAGAAAGCACATGAGAGGGGGGAGGGT